ATAAGGTTGGAGTTGCTTTTAACATGGCTGCTTTGGAAAAAGGTCCTTTGGACGAGTCATTGTTTGCTTGTCAACACCAAAAACTAAATATTTAGACAGATCAAGAAATGTTAACCTGGAAGTTCAAGCCAGATTGTGACCAAGCTTCTATTTTGGCTTTTTCAAGTACAAGTTTTAAGTCCAGCCCCTCTTCACATAAGCAAACAGGGCTGTTCCCATATGAAAAAATAAAAACACACACCACAATAATTTTTGGGTGTTGTCTCTACACATAGCGTTATCTTACTGCTGTGTGTTCAAATATTTCATTTTCTAACCCATGTAGCTGTACTTAGTTATTTCAGGCTTAAGAAAAGCTTATATAACACAATGATTGTGCAGGGGAGTAGGAGGGACTTAAAGCCCCACATCATTAGTGCACAGACTTCTTCTTTCAGCTGTTCCCTCTTCAGGGTCTCCACACTGTCATCCTCCTCCATCCCACTCTGTCCTCACTCCAACTACCTCCATGTCCTCTCTAACTGCATCCACATATCTCCTCTGTCTTTTTCCTGGCAGCTGCATTTCTAACATCCTTCTACCAATATACCCACTGTCCCTCCTCTAGACATGTCCAAACCACTGTCCCTCCTCTGGACATGTCCAAACATCTCAGTCTGGTCTCTCTAACTTTATCTCCCAGTTGTTCAACCTGTGCTGTACCTCTGATGGTCTTATTCCTAATCTTATCCATCCTTGTCAATACTGAGAACCTCAACATCTTCATTTCTGCCACTTCCAGCTCTTTCTCTTGTCTTTTTGTCCAGGTCTCTGTCTCCAGACAATATAGCTAGTCTCACCACTGTCTTGTAAACTTTTCCTTTGACCTTTGCTGACATTCTTTTATCACAAATCACTCCTGAAACTTTTCTCCATCCACTCCATCCTGCCTGGACTCTCTTTTTCACTTCTTTACCACACTCCCCATTTCCCTGGACAGTGGACCCCAAGTACTTGAAGTCCTGCACTTTTGTGACCTCTGCTCCTTGTAGCCTCACTGTTCCACCGGTCTTCCTCTCATTCACACACATGAACTATGTCTTACTACGGCTGACTTTCATTCCTCTTCTTTCAAGTGCATACCTCCACTTCTCCAAGTTCTCTTCCACCTGTTCCCTGTTCTCACCACAGATCACAATGTCATCTACAAACATCATAGTCCATGGGGATTCCTGCCTGACCTCATCTGTTAGTCGGTCCATCATCAGAGCAAACAAAAGGGGGCTCAGAGCTAATCCTTGATGCACGCCCACATCCACCTTGAAGCTATCTGTCACTCCTAGCGCACATCTCACCACTGTCTTGCTGTCCTCATACATGTCCTGTACCAATCTAACATATATCTCTGCCACTCCAGATTTCCTCATTCAATATCACACCTCCTCCCTTGGCACTCTGTCATATGCTTTTTCTAAATCCACAAAGACACAATGGAGTTCTTTCTGACCCTCTCTATACTTCTTCATCAGCATTCTCAAAGCAAAGATGGCATCCGTGGTGCTCTTTCTTGGCATGAAACCATACTGCTGCTCACAGATAGTCACCTCTTGTCTAAGTCTAGCTTCCACAACTCTCTCCCAGATCTTCATTGTGTGACTCATCAACTTAATTTCCCTGTAGTTGCTACAACCCTGTACATCACCCTTGTTCTTAAAAATGGGCACCAGCACACTTCTTCTCCATTCCTCAGGCATTTTCTTACCCTCAAATACGCCATTGAATGTTTGAGTCAAAAACCTCACTGCCATCTCTCCCAGACATTTCCAAACCTCCACTGGTATATCATCAGGTCCTACTGCCTTCCCCTTCTTCATTCTTTTCAGTGCTTTCCAGGCTTCACCCTCACTAATCTTTCCCACTTCCTGGTCCACAGTTTATATGACCTCTACTCTCCTTTTTCTTTCATTCTCTTCATTCATTAGCTCCTCAAAGTACTCCTTCCATGTTCCCGTCACACTCTCCTCCCTTAGAACATTACCGTTCCTATTTTTATCAAGCCTAACCTGCTGCACATCCTTTCCAGCCTGATCCCTCTGTCTTGCCAATCGGTCCAAGTCCTTCTCACCCTCTTTAGTGTCCAGTCTCCCATACAGTTCATCATATGTCTTCTGCTTTGCCTTAGCTACCTCCCTCTTTGCTCTACGTCCCATCTCCTTATATTTCTGTCTCCTCTCTTCAGTCTTCTCACTGTCA